TGTATTTTATTTTTGTTCAATTGAAAATATTGTAACACCCCTTGAAACTTCTTTGATCCCTTGAATATTTAGCAGTATATTTCCAAGTATTTGGGAGGATTTTCCTATTATCTCTGTTATTGATTTGTAGCTTGATTGCATTATGGCCAGATAACACAGTTTATATTTTGATCCTTGTAAGTTTGTGAAGGTTGGTTTTATGACCCAGGATATTATAATCTATCTTGGTGAATGTTTCATCTGTACTTGAAAAGAATGTGTATTCTGTTGTTTTGAGTGAAGTATTCTATAAATAAATCAATTGGATGTAGTTGGTTGATAGTGTTATTCTGTTCTCCTACTCCATCTCACCTAGAACCAGATCTTGTCTTGATAGTCAAATTAACAAATTAGGCCCATCATTTAAAAAATGAAGGCTGATTTTTATGCAGCTGATCTTACCAGCTTTCAATAGTTTTAACACACCTATAATTCTCAAAATTCTTAGAAATATGTGTGTCACTGACATATGCATGGCCTCACTTTTCTATTTTCTTCCGGCCCATTAATTGTTCATTTCCCTATTGTCTTCTTTCAGTGAAGACAAGGTTGGAATTTTCCAACAGGAACTTTCAAGGGAAGGCTGCATGATAAATATAAATGTATTGATTGGGGGGATGATAACAAGTCCAGCTCCGTACAGCACTGCCTAGTCTGGAAAGATCTTACATATCCTTTTCATTATCCCTAAGACAGACCTTTGAAAAACTCAGGCTAGGCTTACTGGCCACATTTCACAGTTGAGGCAACAAGACTTTGAGATGCTTGAAGTGATCTTAAGGTCTCTCAGTCTTGAAGAAGCAAAGCTAGGCCTAAGCAGATTGACCCAAATCTAGTATGCTTTCCACAGTTTCACATTATGGTTAGACAGCTAATGATTTAATGATTTTGTGATTTGGCTTACCCAGTTTACAGAGAACTTGTCCTAATGCTATTTTTTTCATACCTTGTTGTGGTCTGAGATAAACAAACTTACTACAAGGAGATCTTTGGATCCTAGCCTTAACAAGTGTGGGTAGTTGCCACAATCTGGTAGGATTCTAAGTTCTTACGAGGCTCTAATTTGCTCCCATTTCTAGAAGCTTTTATTAAACATGTACTATATTTCTGGCACAGCCCAAGCCCAAGAGATGGAAGGATGACTGGCCCTTATGAGCCCCAGATGGTCATGTGGGCCTCTCTGCCTTGGTCTCAAGCTTTGTAGATGCAGAAGGCTTTAGGAGAACTGTCTGGGTGCCTGATCTCTTTTCATTACAGTCCTCCAGGCCTCACATGAGCAGGAAAAAGAAGCCCTTATCCAGACTTTCCAGGAGGCCAAGGCAGCCCTGAAGGTGAGAGGGGCTAGTTCTGTGTCAGTCTTTGGTGAGGGAAGGGGAGGACCTATAGGAAAGCATCACAGAGCCCTGAAGCAGCCAAAGGTGATGGCCTCTATGTAGATGTGTGTCACAAGTAATTATCTTCCATGTGTGGCAGCCGGGCTACTAGCTCAAGAAAATTTTATCTGAGATTAGGCTTGGCCCTTTTTCAAAGGACTGCTGGGATGATTTTAGAGACTGCATAGGCTGGGTGTCACAGTGTGATCAGACTGGTGGATGGATACAAAGGACCTGTGGAAGCCAGCTAACCCAGTTTGGCTAGTGGGGGAAGATTTTCCAGAGGAAGTGATATCTAAGCTAGAACCTAAAGGATAGGCTGGAATTCTTTGGATGAAGAAGATTAGGAAGGATGCTCTAGGTAGAGGAGAAAAAAAAAAAAAAAAAAACACGTAAAAAAGCAAGGAAGAAAGGGAGAAACATGGAATACCTGAGGAACTGAAAGAAGCCCAAGACATGTGGGGTAGAGGGCATGAGTGGGAGAGAGATAGAGAGGGCTCAGGCTGGAGAGGTAGTAAGAGGCCAGCAGGTGGGAGCCCATGAGCCATATTAAGGGGTTGTACTCTATCTTAGAGATAACCAGTAAGGTCTAGGTGAGGGAAATTCTTGGTAGGGGAAAAGTATGGAGACATTGTACTTTGGAGAGTAATGTTACATGAAGAGAAGTGTTTGGTTGAAGGAAGTGTGTGAAGGGAAGCAATGGGAGAGTAGATGGGAAAGTCCACTGAGCCTGATTTTGATGCTTTGAATGCCAGACTTAAACTGGCCTCGAATCCCAGGAAATTTTCTCTAAGGTAATGGGGAGCCATTGAAGATTTTATAGCAAGAGAGGGGGGCTGGTATGCTTGAAGCAGTAACTGAAGTAGATTAAGTCTGTGTTGTTGTATTGTGTAGGCAAAAGATTAATGGGGATAACCCAAAGCTGCTCACTGTCTGGGGTCTGTGAAGGCCACTGGTACCTTTATGAGTCATGTTTTGAGCCCTTCCTATTCCCTTCTCCAGGACACCATAGATGAACTGACCTCACAGCTGCAGGCCTTCCAAGCTAAGATGAAAAGGGTGGAGGAGTCCATTCTGAGCCGAAACTATAAGAAGCACATCCAGGTAGGTGACAGTACACCTAGGGGTCTCTCCTCCTTGAATCTCCCTGGAGAGGCCAGGGTCTAGGCAACAGGAAAGGCCAGTCCCTTGAGGCAAAACGTACCCATTGCCATTGAGTTGATTTTGACCCTGTTCTATGTGGTTTTCTTGGCTCTGACCTTTACAGAGTAGATTGTCAGGCCTTCCTTCCATGGCAGAACCACTGGGTAGGTTCGAACCACAAATCTTTAGGTTAGTAGTCAAGTGCATACCATTTGCACTCCCCAGGGACCTTGAGGCAAAACACAACATCTCTCCAAAAGTAGGCCTCAGACCAGACACTCAACCTACAGGCCGTGGAAGCAGCAGAGTCCCATTTCACTGAGGGGAAAAGTAAGGTTCAGTGAGAGGCCTGTGGTATTCAGAGAGAAATAGGTGCAAATAGTAAACCTGCCATTTGCCACAAATGACTTACCCTATGTGAACCTCTGTTTCCCCATTTGTGATGGTACTGGAACATGCCTCAAATGATGCTGTTAAGATAAAATTAAATAAAACATACTAAGCACTCACCATGTGTTAAGAAAGGCCTTGCAATTTACTTCCAAAAAAATTCTGCCATTGAAAACTCTATGGAGTAGTTTGACTCTGACACACATGGGGTCACCATGAGTTAGAATCGACTCAACAGCAAATGGTTTGTTTATTTTTTTTTAATGTACCAAGAGAGAGAGACGACTTGTGAAAGTCAAACAGTGAGTTGGTGGCAGAACAGGGAGGAAATAGGCCATACCCCTCTCTATTTGCTAGTCTGATGAGGTCACTCTCTGTCCCTGTCTAGGATTACGGGAGCCCCAGCCCATTCTGGGAGCAGGAGCTGGAGAGTTTACACTTTGTCATCGAGATGAAGAATGAGCGCATTCATGAGCTGGACAAGCGGCTGATCCACATGGAAACCGTGGTCCGTGGCGGGGAGTGGCTGGGTGGATGCAGTGTCAGGCTCTCGCTTCTTGGTCATTGCCTCTTCTAAAGCACGGGGAGGGAGGTGCTTTGGGAAGGCTCCAGCCTGGCCCACACCAGCTTTGATCTGTTGCCCATGCCAATACTTAACCAGTGGGTACATGCCCACTGTGGTCATTCTAGGTCAAGCAGGGGCTCCTTATCATCCGTATTCTGTGATTTTCTTGGCTACTCATGTTGCTTGAACTTGGGTGACAATGGTGTAAGGAGTCTGCTTAACCAGGAGGGGCTGGAAGATGTCACAGGTCAGTCAGGCAGGGGCCAAGGGATGAGACAAGGCTGAAAGGTCGGACAAATACGGGAACCAGAGTCAGCAAAGACAGGGCTGGTGAGTTGTGGGCAGTGAGGCCACTGATGGCTTTATTTCCAGCAAAACAGAGGCCTCAGAAAATGAGAGTTGAATCCAAACAGAGATTATGTTGCTTCCTAATCTCTGAGAAGTCTCCCTGGCCTCCTTCAAAGTAAACTCTGCATGTAACACACCAGTATTTTAACACAACCATCTCAAACGTTCTCTCTAAAATTTTGTTTAGCCATTTTTGGGGAACGGGTTAAGAAATAAATTTAACGTTATTTGTATAGGTTATATTCTCTGACTTTGAAGAACAAAAAGTATCTATTCTTTTATGAACTGATATGATCTTGGACAGCAGTGGCTATGTTCTTTAACGTTCTCACATGGCAAAATTAAAAGTTGGCAGCCCTATGTTAACTCCCTAGTTTTATTTGCTTAAGTAATCTCACTGTTCCATGAACTGTAACCTGTGATCTGAAATATGTTTTCAGTTACCACAGATAATAGGGAGGTGATGACCGCAATGTGCTGTGGCAAGTGTAGCAACTTGCTGAGCTCATCCTAATTTGTTACAGAAAGAAAAAAACCTGATGTTGGAGGAGAAAATCACCACCTTGCAACAGGAGAATGAGGACCTCCACGTTCGAGGCCGGAACCAGGTGGTTGTATCAAGGTAGACACCTCTCCAGCCTCCTCTCCTCTAGTGCCCACCCTTTTGACCATTCTCTCCAGCTGAGAGAGGCTCAGAGAAGCCTGGGGAATGGATGAACAGGCAGACCAGGGCCTGTCTGAAATATATGGCTCTTCTTTCTTTGGGAGTCAGGAATCCCAAGAGACCAGCTCTGTCCAGAGCCCTAAGTTCCAAGGCCCTAACCAGTGACTGTTTGCTCCCATTCCTTGAGTCTTGTTCAAGCACTAGCCAGGCTGAGTGGGCTCCCTGGAAAGTCCAATATGGGGAAGAGGAAGCAGGAAACTTACAGTTCACAAGGCCTGAGTAGAATGAATCAGTTCTGAGAGCTACTTAGTAAATAGGGCTATTATCATGTGTCAGATACAATTTCTTAAATACCTTACATATTATCTGACCTAATCTTTACCCTAAGAGATTATTATTATTGTTATTATTATTATTATTATTATTATTATAACCATCTACAAATTTAAAAATAAAAAACCAGTTGCCATTGAGTCAATTCCAACTCATGGTGACCCCATATATGTCAGAGAAGAATTGTGCTTCATAAGGTTTTCAATAACTATGACTTTTTGGAAGTAGACTGCCAGGCCTTTGTTTCAAGGCTCCTTTGAGTGGACTTGAACCACCAACCTTTTGGTTAGTAGCCGAGCACTTAACCATTTACTGAAATTCAGCAAGAGTGAATAACTAATGCAAATTCATACAGCTAAATAGTGAGGCAGAGATTTGAACCCAGAGCTACCTGGGAAGTCCATGCTCCGTGGGCAACAGATTAAATTGCCTCTTGCATACAGGCAAAGGAAAGGGCCTTTTGAGCCATGGAGTATGCTAGTGTCCACCCAGGGAAGGCTTCCTGTAGGAATGGGTTTGTGGTCCTGCTGAAGCCTTTGGTGCTGCTCCCTAGTAGACAGCCCTGGGCTCTGTGTGCGTTCCACAGGCAGCTCTCTGAGGACTTGCTGCTCGCCCAAGAAGCTCTGGAGAAGGAGTTGCAGTTACGGCAACAGCTCCAGCAGGAGAAGGAAGAACTGCTGTACCGGGTCCTGGAGGCTGAAGCCTCCCCTGCCTTCCCCCTGGCCTCTGTCACCCCCACTGAGGTCTCTTTCCTCGCAGCCACATAGGGCTCAGGGCCTGCTGTGCTGTCTGTGGTAACAGCTCCCTCTAGAGGACTCTCCTGAGAAGACAGTGGGGGTCTCTGTTCCTTTCCCAGGGAGGAACGCCAAGTAGGAATGATACAGGGAGCCAGGGTGTGTGCCTACTGAGCCCTGGGGGGCTTGGGCGGAGTGAAGCCATTCATGGGGCCTTGAGTCCCTAGAAATGCCTTCCCGTGAGTTGGCCCAGAACCTTTTCTGTGATATGGGGAGTTGCAAATATCCAAGAAGGAGACAAAGTATCCAGAGTTTCCCACCCTTCCTTGACCAAGTTTCTACCTGGACCGCAGAGAGCACTTCAGGCTGCAGAATGCACTTTAGAAGCATTTTTTAAAATTGTGATGGGCAGGGCTTGAAAAGGGACAAGTTGTAAGGGGAGGGGAGTCTTCCCTCATATAGTCTGTGATGGATGTGAAGAAGAAATGAACTAGTTATACCTCCACCCCTGGGTGGACAAGCTATGGAACTAAAAGGAACATACAGTATCTTATTTATTTAGCCTCTGTGTTTTCTTGGGAAAGGGAGGAGGTGGGTCTTGCTAGCAGCAAGGATCTTTGTTGGATAATTCCTGGAGCCTGGTGACTCATCAGTGGTCTCAAGCTCCCTCTGCGGGGACTGGAGCCTAAATGGCTCTAGCTCAGCCCCAGCCTCAGAGTTTCAAGGCTGGCGTTAGAGTGAAAGCAGGCCCTCAAAATAGGCCAGGCCTTGGAGCAAGGCTATGAGGATGAACTGAGAGGAGAAAACAGTGTTGGGGTTGGGGGTGGGGGTGTAGGGGTAAATGAGAAGGTACTTTCTGTTCTGTCAGAGGTCTCCCCCTTGTCTTGATATAAGAAACTCTGAGGATCACACAGGTACCTATTCCTTTTTCTGCCCATTGCCTCATACCCATCCAGATGCCTTCAGCCAGAAAGGGAGCTAGGAAGAGGCAGGAGAGACACGAGGGCTTTGGATCACATGAAAATGGGTGGTGGCAGTCCCTGTGCCCTAGAGGTTGGTGGCCCAACAGATGTAGAATCCAGTGTCCCCAGCCCAAGTCTCCTCCATGTAGAGGGTGCTCTCTGCCTCCTGCTGTACCTGGCCTTCCCAGTGAATGACATCAGCCCGCTCACTGACATAGGGGGGTCGCCCCAGCTGCAGGGGACAAAAAAGATAACATTGTTTCAGCTGCCCTGGGTACCCTCTCTGACACACTCGGGGCAGGTAAGAGGGCACCAATTATCCCATCAGTAGATGGAAAAGGGAAGTGACTTATCCAAGGTGACACTTCAACTTAGTGTCAGAGCACTTAAAGGCCAAGATCTTTATGGAAGACTTTAAGGTTCCCAAGGCACAAGGGAGGTACTGGAGTCCCCTCCCCTACTCAAGGAGTGTTCAGGAGGCAACTCACTCAGAGCAGCATTCCCAGTGGGTATTCTGTGGCACAATGGTTCTTTATGGATGTTAGTAAGTATACGCACCTTCCCAAAGTGAGGCAAGTTGGGGATTCCCTTAGCAAAAATGTTTGGCAAACTGAGTCAAGCAAAGTTAAATTGGTAAAACTTAGCCCATCAAGTCTGTCATATATGCAAATGCATTTGAATCTCTAAGGTGGGTGGTAGTTATAAGAGGCACAGTTTTCCTGACAACACATTTTTTTTGGTGGGGAGGGAAGGATTTTGGGGTACTCTGCCATGTTAAGACATGTGTCTTAGGGAATGCTGGTGTAGTGAAGTCAATGTCTACCAACTATTTCTGTGATTGTTTCCCCTACTTGGGTCCCAGTTTCCTCATCAGACAAGTGGGAGAATGACCACTCACCTTTTCTACCTTCTAGTGTCTAAGGCATTTGACTGCTAACCAGAAGGCTGGCAGTTCAAACTCACCAGCCACTCCTCAGAAGGAAAGTTGAGCAATCTACTTTCATAAGTGATGAAGCCTTGGAAACCCAAAGAGGGGTTGCTATGAGTCAGGTCTGACTCGATGGCACATAACAACAACAACAACAGTGTCTAAGGCATTTGACTGCTAACCAGAAGGCTCGTGGTTCAAACCCACCAGCCACTCCTTGGAAGGAAGTTTGGGCAATCTACTTCCGTACTGATGCAGCCTCAGAAATCCAAGGAGGGGTTGCTATGAGTCAGGTCTGACTCGACGGCACATAACAACAACAACAGTGTCTAAGGCATTTGACTGCTAACTAGAAGGCTCCGGTTCAAACCCACCAGCCACTCCTCAGGGAGCTCTGGTGGCATAGTGCCTAAGGCATTTAACTGCTAACCAAAAGGCTGGTGGTGCAAACCCACCAGCCACTCCTCAGAAGGAAGATGGGGCAATCTACTTCCATAGTGATACCACCTCAAAAACCCAAGGAGGGGTCACTATGAGTTGGATCGGACTCAGCAGTGTGTTGAAGGTCTCTATGTGGTTCCCTTCATCACACCCTTGCTTGATCCAACCCTCAGTTAGCCCCTGCAAGGAATACAGAGATGAACTTGAGGAGTTCACAATATATTGCCCCAGCCCACCCAAATGACTAGTACAAAGTTGAGCGAGAGTGCTCTAAATTCAGGGAGAAGCAGAACACATGGCCTGGATTCTACAGTCTATCCTCCTGGGCTGCAGGAAATGGTGATGACATTGACAGGTCTTGGCACCTTCAGAGCATCTCATCCTAGCCTTTTCCTAAGTACCTCTGGCTGGGCAGTAGCGTCTCTGGAGTCTTTCTACCCCAACTCTACCCACTCTGATCTACACAAAGTCAGATCCCCTGCTCAGACTTCTTCTTCAGTGGCTCCCTGGAGTCTGGAGAAGCATTCTTGGGTTCCTTTGCACCCACCGCTCCACTGCCTTCTGGGCAGGTGGCAGTGCAGGGAAGGTAAGTGTCTGCGGCTCCTGTGTGTGACATGTCCACCCTTGCTTTCACTCCTGCTGTGATTTGCCTGATATACCTTCCACTCATCTCAATCCTACCCCCCCCCCCCCCCCAGCTCTATTCAAATTCCAGCTTTTTCCAGGAAGCCCTTTTCAGAATTCCTAAAACCCTTGATGTTGGTACCATACAATTTGGCACAGCTGTTCTACAGATGCTTGAGGTTTATGGGGGCTAAGTTCTTTGAGACGAAAGAACATAGCAAACATCATCCCCTTCAATAGCTAGAGAAGGGCTGGGCCCAGAAAACCATTGCTAACATATTATGTACTTAGTCTAGCTATCCATTCCTATTCTTTCTCTTTTCCTCTCTCTTCTTCCTTCTCTTCCTCTTTCTCTCACACACACACATCCACACAGGCAGGCAGGCAGGCACCCAGCCATAGAGTCCAAATACTTGCTCAAGCCCCATTTTTGTGTGCTTGAGGTCAGTCTGGTCAGAAACTACTCCCCAACCACTCTACTTAAGTAGACTTTGTCACATTGCTCTGGTTTCGTCTCTCTGTAGCACTTGACATTCTCTAAAATATTATTTATGTCCACTTCCCATTCTTTCCTCCCCACTCAGTCTGTAAGTTTGTGAAGACCAGAGCCATATCACTTTTTGACTTATCACTTTAGCCTCAGCACCTAGTGCAGTCCAGGCATGTGGTGGGTGCTCAATTATTTTTGGATAAATCAATAAAGGAATATTTTAGATATTCTTATACAGAAACCTGAGAAGTAGCTCTATCTGACAAATGAGAAAACTGAGGCTCAGAAAAGGCAAGTGACTTTCTCAAGGTCACTCAGAGGATTGGGATCCAGGCTCATCTCATTCCCAGTCAAGCCATGGTTCCACTTTGCATGATCATTCCTCCCTCCCACCCCCATAAACACACAGCGTCCTCTGACCTTCTGCCCTGGATATTCCCAACTAAAGTCCACAGTGATTTCTGGCTCACCCAGAACTGTGCAGGTCACTCTGAAGTTCCCCCCCAACTGGACAGATGTTGCTGAAGCTTGGATGGTGGGTTTGGGGGAAGATGATGGGTCTGTCATAGATAGCAGGGGAGAGAAAATAGGGGCAAATGCTAACAACCGTTGAATTGATAGTGAATGGAAGGAAGGGTGGACTGAATGGGTAAAATTATTAAAAGAGGATATGTGTATGCATAAGTGGCTGTAATTAATTAATGGAGGTTCAGTGGGTATGTGGCTGAATGATAGAAGACTTGACGTTATGGAGGATAGCTGGATGGAATGACTGATTTGAGAGAAGATAAGATTAATGAAATAGTTTAAGTTGATTTAACGAGGATGGTGGATAGAAAGTTTGAGCTAGTGGCTGGCTGAGCTGATTGGCTGGCTGTCAGGACAGAATGAGTGAATACATGGAGTGGTGTTGAGAAGTAATTGGTTGTTTTCAAAACATTTCTGACTGATGGAGACCCTTTGATGTGTCAGAGTAGAATTGTCTTCTGTAGAGTTTTCAATGACTGATTTTTCAAAAGTAGACTTCTAGGCCTTTCTTCCAGTACACCTCTCATGGACTTGAACCATCAACCTTTTGATTAGCAGCCAAACATGTTAACCCTTTGCACTAACCAGGTTGGTTTAAAAAAAAAAAAAAAAACTTGCCATCTAATTGATTCCAGCTCACAGTGGTGCAGTGGTTAAAGCACTTGGCTGCTTTGCAGGACAAAGATGAGGCAGTCTGCTTCTATAAATATTTATAGCCTTAGAAACTCTATGGGGCAGTTCTACTCTGTCCTTTAGGATTGCTATGAGGTTAGTTGTTTAGTGCTCCATAATCCACAGACCATGAAACCTAAGGCTTCCAAAGGAGCCATCTTTCCCCATATCCTCCCCCTTCCCTGCCCACCCAGAGCCTCAGGCCCACGCACAGTTGATGTAGATCAGCATGTACTTGTTAGAGATTTGTCTCATGGGACCCAGTCTGGCCATGCAGAAGAGGGAGCCAGCCAAGGAAGCCCAGGGCCGGTGGGTGGTGAAGCCCTTCTTCACGTCAAAGGAGATGTCTTTCCCATCCACTGGGACTTCCTCAGGAGGGAACTCCCGG